GTGCCAGGTGAATGCAGCACTTCCATTTTACAGGAATTTTCCAGAATGCCTCTCTCTGGAGCCACACACACCCCCGCCCCATACAGGCAGGATATAGATCCAGAGCCTTACGATAATTCCCTGGAAATATCGCAGTAGAGGCCATTGGTAGAGACCGAATGAGATGGTGACTGGGTGAAATGGGGACAACATACAACCAGAGAGATAAGGCCCTGGGGGATGAGTATCATTCAGCATGCTTCAGACTTTGTTCCTCCATCCCCTGGCCAAGGGCTGGGCAGGACTGGGCAAGAGCCCTAGGAGCAGGAATCAAACCTGGGCTGAATATTAACTCTATGGCAAACACCAGGCACTGGGACCAAGTGGTACCTCCCTCCCCATGCTTCAGCAGGAATGGGGGCGGGCAGGAAAAAAACACATGGATTTTGGTAGCAAAGTGACCTCACCTAGGAAGAAACCTGTTTAGATCCACATAGGAAATCCTGGTACTGCAACCAAATCTGGTAGGCAGGTACCAGATGTGGGACAAGGAGATGGGGAAGTGACTGAATAGAGGGCAGACGTGGGTGCAATGTGGAAGGGCTCAAAAGAGTGGGGCTGGGAGAGGGGTTTTATCTGGAGAGGTGTGACCACTTTGGAGGGAGTTTAGGGCCAGCTGTGTGGTGAGAAAGAGGCTTCATGCTAGCAGGTACATAAACCACAGAAAGGAGATGGACGGAGCCAGAGGAAGAGGGGCAGCCAGGCTGGTCATCACGGTCCCCCTTTCGGCTCTCTCATTGTCTGCACTGCCCTCGGCCCTATAATTCCATTCTACAAAGCTTTATCCCTTTGCTTTCACACTTATGCCAGCCAGACTTACTCGGTCGTTCCATGAGATTGGCACTTCCCTCCATACGGCTGGCATCCCCAACAGGGGGCACATCAGGCAACTTGTGGCCTGTGTCTCTGTCTGCTGCTCAGAACTAGGCTCCTTGGATGGGCTGCCATGGAGTCGGCAGACACTGCAGCAGTGAGACATGAGACAGAAGAGGCACAGCAAGGACGCCTCTGGGACCCTGTCTCACCCAGAGCAAAATCCCACTAGGCCAAGGAGGGCTATCATTCAGGGAGCAGTCTGCACCGTTCCACCCCTCAGGCTGTAACCTGGTCACTCTCAACTCCGCCCACAGTTTGCTAAGCAAAGTCCCATCTCTGCTATCCCTGTATCTCATGTGCAGCCCCAACTGGAGGCCTCATGAAACAAAACCCTTGTCAATGGCCCGGCATGGGTAAGGGTTGCAGTGGGGGAAGGAAATACAGGGGAAACCTGGCCCCAGGGCAGTGGCACAAGGCTTGATGTTCAAACTCCTGCTCTTGACCAGATGCTCTCCCTCCCAGCCTTCCACCTGTTCCCAGGGCCCAAGGACTCCCCTTCCTGTGACCCACTCTTTACCTCAAGGTGGTTTGTCATCATTGTGCTGATAGTGCCTCCCCAGGTAACCATGTAAAGGTAAATGTGTTTGTCTTCTGCAGGCAGGTGGCAGGTGAAGCCAGAGGCTGGGGTGTGGGCGGGGAGGTGGTGGGTGGGCTTCCTTTCACATCAGACTCAGGCCATTCACTCACCTGGACCTCCAAAGCTCTTGCAGTGGTCAGCACTCTGCAGGGTCCTGGCTGCCACCACTCTGACTCTGCCCACAGGGTATCTAACTGTCCCCAGGACTGGGGATTGCAAAGCCTTTGCCTATCTGAAGGGCTTCTAGTGCATTAACAAAGCTGAGGCATCAGAGTAACTGGAGCTGACACTAAGCAAGAAAGATCAGAAAGAGAACTGTGGGCAGAGCTGAGAAGGGCAGGGGACCTCCGTGAAGGGAAGATCCCAGCTAGCCCAAGGCAATGCAGGTGAAAAGCAGAGGCCTGCATGGGATGAGGGAAAATAGAAACCATCAGATAAGCAAGGGTGGAGCATTCTTGAACAAAGCAAATTAAGTAATGCAGGAAGTGCTTGGGAGACTGGGGTATTCAAGTGAAGCTTCTCCATGATGCATCTGAACACAAGAGCATAAATCATATACTGTGAGCTGAAGGAGAGGAGCCCAGCCACTTGCAGGGTACAGGCAAGGTAACAGCAGGTGTCCCATGCCTCATGTCCATGGACACAGGAAGCTCTGGGGAAACAGCCAGGTCATACCTTCCTGTTCCAGTCTGGGCAGTGTCTGAGGGTAAGTGCACTGGCAACATCAGTGGCTGACTTCCAGGGTGTGCAGCAGGCAGCATCCTGCTTCCTCCATAGATACTCAACTGTGGAAAACTCTGAGCTGGGGATCTAGTGGGCCCCAGCAAGGGAGCAAGCTCCTAACTTGGGACAGTAAGGCGTTCCCCTCCCAAGCAGCCCAGTTCTGGTGCTACTTTGAACTAACTGGCTTCTCCATGACCGCAGTTACTGATTATCCACTAGAGGCACCACTTCCCGTGACAGAAACACATGGAGGAAATATGCAAAGAAGGCAAAACAAGAGGTGACAACTGTGCAAACCCCAGGCAGACCAGGCAGCTGGAGGCCCCTGCCTCCTCCACCAAATATCCACCTTCCTTTCCTACCTCTCTCCTCCACCTCCCTCCTTTCCACTCCCTGTACCTGCCCCGAGACAGGACTCCACTGTGTACCTTCAGCATCTGGTCTGTAAGAGGGCAGCCCCAGGCCACGGAGGACAGTACTAGGAGCTATGTAGCAGGGAGAAAAGGGGCTGCCAGGCCATGGAGGCTGATTTGAAGGACAGTGAGATTCATCTGTTCTCAGGCTTCAAGTACAATCAGGCAGAAACAGTGGCTCTAGCCATGTTCAGCATCTCTGCTGTCATGGGACCCCTGACTTGTGGGGCCCCCATTCTCCAGCAAGAAGGCAGCATCTCATAGTCTGTCACCACATGGGGCTCTCAGATGTGCAGGTATAGTGTGCACCCCTGTAGTCCCAGCACCATGGACAGCTGAGGCAGGAGGATTGTAAATTCAAGCCCAGGCTGGGCAACTTAGCAATTTAGCAAAACACTGACTCAAAATACAAACAAACTGGGAATTTGTTTGCTGCTGTGGCCCTGGGTTCAACTCTCAGTATGAGAGAGAGAGAGAGAGAGAGAGAGAGGAGCAGGGGTGTTAAAACTTGTCAGGCAGAAAGAGAAAGCCAGCAAGAACAGGAACAAGAAGCAGAGAATGGAAAAGCAAATGAGGGAGAGAAAAAGGAAGTAGTGAGGGGGTCAGAAAGCAAAGGGTAGAGAAAAATACAAGGAGGGAAAAGAAAGATGAAACAGAAACAGCTGAGCTAAAGAGCAATGGAAAGAAGGTACAGGAGATTGGTCACCAGGACTTGCATGGCCTAATCTGGATTGTTTTTAATGTCTAACAGGCCCTGCATTTCCTGTTCCCCTCTAGGGGCACTAATTCTGGCAATGTTGCCCCAAAATGGATTAGTGGTCAAAGATCCTGGAGTCCTCACATTAGCTGGGCCAAGGACAGCACCAGAGGGCAGGGCTCACAGCCTTCCCTTCTCTCACCCAGTGAGGGCTTCCTCTCCTTCATCCTCATCCTCGGGATATGAGCTCTGAGCAGCCTGGGAGGCCAGAGGACACGGGACCCTCAGGTGGGTCCGGGGGAGGAGCAGGCACTAAGAGTCCAGCTTCTCTCCCATCTCAGGCCTCCTAATCTTCATTCAACTCCCTCCTATCAGCACAGCCCATCTGGTGCTGAGGCAGGAAATCAATCCAAAGCACCCAGGACATTAGCTGGGTGTGGTGGCACATGATTATAGTCCCAGCACTCTGGGAGGCTGAGGCAGGAGGATCACATGTTCCAGCCCAGTTTGGGCAACTCAAAGAGATTCTATCTTAAAACAAAAGATAAAGGGGCTGGGGATGCAGGTCAGTGAGAATGCCCTGGGACCAAAACACAGTATCACAGAAAAGTGTGTGTGTGTGTGGGGGGGTGCCCAGGACAGGCAGCCATGGAGCAGCAAGAGGTGGGCAGCCACAGATTCATTAGCATGTGCCTGACACTGAGGGACTGCTGAGTACGTGGAAGAAAACACACAGTGTATGGACTCAGACCCCAGCCCCGCATTAAACCCAAGACTTTCCCCAGTCCCTGACTCTCCACCTTCCAATGCCTTCATTCACAGCTACTTTCCCCATGTGGCTCCATGCCCACGCCACACAGGGGCAGAGGTGGTGCACAGAGGCGGGGAAGATGGCACTGCTATGGTCGGAGTCAAGTGGGAAGTCCAGCAGGCTCACAGAAAAGAAGAGCGGCTGAACCCGGGCCATGGTGCACATGCCAGCTCTGCCACCAGGCAGTCCCAGGGGGCAGAGTACACGTGGCCAGAGCCAGATGCAGCCAGCTGCTCTTTGGGGGAAGAGTTTAAAGTCCAGTCCAAGTGACCAAGGGGATGGTGCCTGTACTCCAAAAGGCACTCGGGTGCGGAGTGGCTGCATGCCACCAAGGAATTGCCAAGAAATGGCCCCCACAATGCCTTCATAGACACCCAAGGGCAGTGGATGGCTACCGGAAGGAGCATGCTTTGGGGGAGACGAGGGGCATGCTGGGAGCAGAAGGCAAACTCCATGACACAAGACAGCGCCTGTAAAGAGGGAACATCTTCAGGCTACATCTCCCCCAAGATGTCTTTAAGAGACGGAAACTTGGTCCCTAAGTACACACTCTAAGGCTGCCCCAGTCTTACCCAGTTGCTCTTCTCCTCTAGGACCAGAAGGGCCTTGTCCAGGAGGAGAAGCAAGGCAGGGGCTGGGCAGGCCATCCCTCCTTGGTTTCTACGAATTCAATGCTCCCTCACAGGGCTGTCCTGCCCTACTACAGAGGACTCTATCGTATCTGGCCTGGGGAAGGAGGAGGCTAGTAAAAGGAGGAGTCCATGGGGGACTCGAAGTGCATGCCACTCCTGTCCGGCCCTCGGCCCACCTTCATCTCCACCCACTTCACAGGTACCCAACAAGAAGAGAAACAGGAGTACTTACATTGTACCAGCTCTGGCTTTTCTGAAAAGACAGAATAAAACAGAGAATGGAGTTAGTCAGGGAAGAGGCACTGGGAATGGCTAGGGTATTACTGGCCCAGAGGGCAGGTGACACAGATAGCAGAGGGTGGCTGGGGAGGAGGAATCTAAACACAGCTGAATGCTTCCCGTGTAGCTGCTCAGGAGGGTCCTCCTTTCTCAAGACAGCTCCAGAAAGGAGGCCCAGGGAACTGTCCATGCTGGAAGCCCCACCACGGCAGGGGCAGCTGGGACGCAGGCAGCAGCAGCACAGAGTAGCACTCAGCCCAGAAGGGAGTCGGAGCCCCATCACAAGGTTCTTCTGATAGGGGTGCGGGATGCACTATGGGCATCCCAGATGCAGTCCCCAAATGGGACCTGACCAGAAGCAAAGTACAGATGGAGACCAACCCAGCCTTGTGCTCCGGGAAACCCCTCTGTGGAAGGCAGGGTGGGGCTCTTCTGTACCAGGGAGGGGGGCTGCCTAAAATGTTCTCAGCTACCACCATGTAAACTCCTCCTCAGATCCCAAACTGACTGCTTGCCTAAGTGATAATTACAGAAAAATATTAGGGGGTTCTGCATGGAGAGGAAGGCTGAGGTCTACAATGGTCCTTTCCAATCCTGTGGTGTCCTAATTTGGTGCCAGCAAAGTCAGATTCTACCCCCAGAATTGAGAAATTCTCCATTCCCAGAAGAATAGGATCTGAAGATTTCTTAAAGAGGGACAGCTACATTGTGCCCTGTGTGTCTCCAAACTCTACAGACAGAAATCCTTTAGGTACATCCCACTGGGATGGGAGAAACTCTTCCTACAGCTCAAAACCTTGGCAAGACCCAGCAGTGTGGATCCTGGGCACATTTAGCAACTTCCATCACCTCCACCTGGTACGAAGAGGCCCCACTCCAGACAGCAGAGGACAGCGGCCCCTGTCTCAACAAGACCACTGAGCAAATGCTCAGCAAGATGCACCAGAGTCTGGGTGAATGTGATCATAGCAATGACTGGGTGGTCACAGGATCTATCTCCCTTCTCCGGAAGAACTCCGAAGACATCTTGGCCCTATATTCTGAAGGTGGCTGCAGTCAGCAGAGATGGTGGGGGGAGGCAGTCAAGGGGGGCCAGGCACAGGTGTGCTGCCTCTCCCCCTAACCTCACTGGCCAGACTGTGCCCAGGGAGCAGATGCCAAGGCAGGCTCCCAAACCCCCTCTGCAAGAGGCTCTGAAGGGTCATTTCCCAAACAGATTGTCACTGTGGTCTATTCCGGAAGTTGCATACTCCTACCCTAGTGTCATCTTCTCCTCTGATCCAGAGTTCTTAGTACGGAAAGGGATAAACTTGGAGATTGAAGTTCATCATTTTGTCACTGGGTAGCAGGGGCGCCACACAGGAAAGCTGGGCTGCAATCCCCCTCTAGCCAGCTACGGCTGCCCCGTCTGGAGGAGGGTGGATGGGGCCAGTAGGCTGCGTCTGACTCAACCTACATCTCACTTCCTGGGCAGGCATTCACGGAGAAGCTCCGACTGTCAGACCAGGGGCTCGGGGCTGTGCACTTTCCAGGAGCAGGAAGTGCACTCTGGGACCTGATACCTCCATAGTCCCACAGGCTCCTGGTACTTCATCAAACCCAACCCAGGGCGGCATATCCTTGCTCCAGAGTGGAAACAGCATCTCCCACACTGTCACCTCAGCCCTTGTCTAGGCCTTCCTATAGCACCCTAGGAGGGAAGCAATGAGTAGATACTTGGGTGGGCTTGGGAGGACACCAAGACCCTTAGTGAGTGCTCTGACACAGTGGCCCCCATCCAACCCAGCGTAGACAGAAGTAGATTTTCCCTTTCCGTGTGCTTGTTTAGAAGTGTGTCCCTGCTAAATCTATTTGGAATGAAGAACTTTGGGGTCACCAGCAGCTTCAACCAGGGAACCTGTGCCCCACCTCTGACCAGCCCAGTGAAATATTTGCTCTTCTGTGAAGGGCAAAGAACAAGTTGTCTCAATACTCAGAAGAAACGTGAACTACACTGCCCTCCAGCAAGGATGTCAGAGGCCCTGTCCGTCACCACTCAGCTCGGCAGCTGCTCTGTGCTACCTCTGAGAGCGTCTCCAGGACAAACAGGCACCCACACCGCCAGCAAAGCCCACACCAGCTCCAGAGACTGCCCATGCCAGGGCACCTCTGGGAGGTGAATTTTATTCTCAGGGCTCTGCATTACTGGGCTTGGTCCCGAAGGAGCCACCGACAGGGTGTGTGAGATGGCAGGACAGTGAGGCTGCTGTCTCTGCTGGACCAGTGCAATTCTCCTCCCTTCACAACAGAGTCAGAGGGAAAGAAGGGACTGAACCAGAGAGGAGGTGAGGGCTTCTCGGAGCTCATGAGTGGATTTGGCCAAAGGGGAGGTGGGAGTAGGAACAAGAGCAGAACTACTGGAGATGAGAATCGAGCTGGAAGTTTCCCCTGCCTTCCATACATGATAGCTGAGGAGCCAGGATGGATGGAAAGCAGATCCATCACTTTGAGGTAGTTTCCTGTCCCCTGACCACAAATACCTCTCTGACCAAAGGTGCAGGGAGTGCAGAAGATGAGGAGGGTGGGCATGGTAGGGAAGACTAGGAGCTCTACATTTAGGGAAAAAAAACCTTCTTACTTTGATCAGCTTAAGTCTGTCATACTGAAAAGAAAACCACAAAAATTAAAATTGAAAAAAACAAAATAAGAGAAAGGTCAAAGGAGTGCTAGTGCCACAGCATGAGGGTGACATCGTGCGCACTCAGAGAAGGGCACTGCAGGGCAGAAGCCAGGGATCTGTGGCCCCATCTGTCTGACACTGCCACTGCCTAGTAGGGCAGGTTGACAGCCAGGACCTGGTAGGAGCAGGCAAGTGGGCATAGGCTCCCTCTAGTGGCCACAAACTGTCACTACTGAGCATCAGTTGGGCAGTGGACAAACACAGGGATACCTGGGAGAGGAAGGCAGCCTGGAGGTAGAAGCAGCTAGGGTCACCCAGACAGCAGAGTTAAAGATCAAGAGGGTGAAGCCTTAGGAACTGTCACATCCAGCCCTTACATATAACTAATGGAGAAATGGAAACCAGAGAAGAAAAAAGAGGCCTCACACCAGGGAGAATAGGAAGCACTTTCCAGCTTGCCTGAGAAATGCCGGGGTGGTCCCTTCTAGCAGTGAATAGGGAACAGAGAGTGAGGTGGCCTCACAATGGGTGCAGCCCTGGATCTTAGGTCCCTTAATGTGGATCCATCTGGTCAACCTGAGAGGATGTTCCACAGCACACAGCGTATGTCCGCTGCACTGGCCTGTGTGGAACCTCCTTCCCGCACCGGTTCTCATGTTCCTCCTTTAAGGTCTCTGTGTCCTTCAGTAACCACAGCTGCTTGCAAGTCTGCCTGGGGAGGGACAGCACCCTTTCCCACACATGCCAGCCAGTCCTATTTCCGTTGCACTTAGAGAATGGTAATGACTCGTTGAGTATGTCTATGTGGGATGGCTGTGCCCAAACCCGAGCTTTTCAAAGGGACAGAAAACCTCATTCCTGCAGTCACCTCCTTCCCGAGCTCTGGAAGGGGGCCAAGTCTGGCTCTCACTTCACATTAGCACCTGGTCCTTTCATAATGTCTCTCCAAAAGCCTACTCTAAAATCCATTCACACCCTGGGATGCATCCTGGCTACCCCCACTCACAAATGATTTCTCCTGCCTCTGAATCTGAACGCTGCCTTGAGCTTCTCTTGTGGCTCTAAGTCAAGTTTGGTTTGTAGATATTTTGGGTGAAACAATCTACATTTCCCAGACTACACTGTCTATACCTTCCAGATCACAATGGATCAGACTGGCTAAATCTCATAGATGCTATACTGTGGGACCTTGTTCACCTGCCCCCCACCAAAAAAGACCCACCCCCCTCAGAGATTAAAATCAACCCTCATTACTAGGTATTCACCTAACTCAACCCATCACCTGAACAAAGCATATACTCTCTAAGGGGTGAACAGTGACACCATCAATCATTATAGTTCTGCTTTCCAAGTACCTTGCTGGGCCTAAAGGAGCGAACTTAGAACTTCACTTGAGGATGAAAACATGTGCTCAGATGCTGGGCAGAAGCAGAGAGCAGGAATTGCCCATGTCCAGCTGCACCCTCTCCCCGGCCAGCCCCTTCAGTGCCTCTATCAACCAAGGCAGGGGTCTGAGCACCCAGAAGAGAGTAACACAGGTCACGGTCCCCTGACATTAGCCAAGCCTGTGCCTGCCCAGCCACCTGAACCCACAGACAACTCCTACTGCTGCCTCACTCCAGGCACATTTCTCATTCCCTGCCTGCAACTTGCCACAGCCATTTAAAATCCTCACAGACACAGTGTGCTTTTAGTCTGAAGGTCAAAGCCTGCAGGCTTGGCCATGTAGCTTCTCGTTCTTCCCTCAGGAAAGAACAGCTGGGCCTCCTCCTCCCCAAGGCACACAGGGACTATTGTAAATCGTTCCTCACCTTCCTCTTCCTCCGGCTGCAACCCTTCCCCACAGGAGGACTTCCTGAGCCTCACTGTCTACAATACCCACTGCTCATTGCCCACTTCAGGCCTCTGAGATCCTGGGTCTCGGGAAGACACTAGCACTGTCTTCTCAATCTGCTCTTACTGCCAACATTCCCCAACCTCCAGGTATTGGCACAGCATCCACTTTGATCAAGGCCTTTCAAGGTCCTAAGATCTCCATGAGCCTGGGACTGAGTGGTGGGTGGAAACAGTAAAGGGGGCCACGGCCGAGCGGCTCTCGAGTGGAGAAAAGGAGTGTGCCAATCAAAACTCCTGGGGTTATTGCTCCTGCACCAGGGAACATATGGCACCGAATTCCTGACCCCACATCAGTGTGTCCTTCCTGCCCATTTCCAATCACTACTGCCAGGGAAGCTGGGATCATCCACCAAGTGGGCTTAGGGACCAGCAGTTGGACCAGATAGGGCCACCCACCCCCACAGGAATGGTACTAGCCTGTGGGACTCTGCTTCTAGAAGGTACCATGTAAGGGGGAGTCAATTCCCACCAGAAGCAGTGTTTGGGGAGCAGGCAGACAGACACAGGGAGGAGGGTGGGGTCTGCTCTCCGACATCAAGTGCAGTGGGAGTGGTCCCTTGGTGACTCCAAGCCAGCCTGCGGGGGGCAATGAGGCTGGCCCTTCTGGGAAAGGGACCAAGCAGGGCATGGACAGAACTGGCAGGGACAGAGGGCAGGTATGCTGAGCACTACAGACAGTTCAACACTAGAGGGGAGATAAAAACAAAAGACAGAGACAAAAGATGGCTTACTTTTGAGAGGCGCTTGTGAGACTAAGACCATGCATGCAAAGAAGGTATTTGGGACATGGTGGAGAAGAAGAGGAAGAACAAGAAATCAAAAGACAAATTCAGGTGGGAAACTGGCTCCCGTGCCTCCCAGGGGTCCCCAGCCCCTCCCCAGGCCCTATGAGTCTGCTGGTAAAGAAAGGTTTCTTGAAGGAGGACCTGGGCAGTGACATATCCTACTTCCCAGAGGCCTGAACATGGGAAGGACCCCTCTGGGGATCCACAGCCAGCCCAGGCCTTGGTACATAACTCTGGGCAGGGCTCCGGTGCTCAGGAGGGTGCTCAGGTGGTGCTGACCTGCTTGAGGGATGGAAAGGGCCTTGTCACTGTCCTTGCTGCCAGATGAGGACTGACAGGGTTAGTATAAAAGTCAGGATGATGGCTAAGGAAGAGGTGAAATGTAGCACTCTGGAAGGTTCTCTGGAGACTCTCTCCCTGGTAATATAGTCACCCCAAATAATGTTCCCTGCTGCTCCAGCTCTGGGGACCAAATGTGAAGGTAGCAGGAATAAAGACTGCCCTTCCTGACCCCCAGCATCTCTTCTAGATCGCCAAGGACAGGAGGCTGCTCAGTTCCTAAAGAGACAAGAGCAGGCAGAGAATCATCATACTGGCTCCAGGACCCGTGGAATAGATACTATCTCTGGGACACCAGGACACAGGGTGGGGAAGTTGTCTCCCCGCCAAGCCCACCATCCCAGCTAAGAGGAAAGCACAGAGCCCAGCTCACCTTGGAATTTTTGCCACCACTCCGTCCAGACTGTGAGGAGCAGCTGCGCTGCACACCCTGCTCCGGGGTGGACGGGGACTTGTCCGAGGAGTGATCCGAGCCCTTCTCCACCATGGTGTCTCCGTCCTGATTCTGTGGGGTTGGTGAGCGAGACCGCTTCCGGAGGATGGGGGAGCAGGCCGGTGTGCTGCGGTTGGAGTTACTGGCAGTGCTTCAGGGGAAGAGAGGGGACAGGGAGAGAGGGAGTAGGGGACAGGGAAGGGGAGGAGAACCAGGCAGTCAGTAATTGCAGGACAAGTGCAAAAGAGCAGCTCAGGGAGCCAGGGCGATGGCCTGGAGAGACATGTGCAAAAGGGGCCCAGTTATGGACTTACTGCCCTGTAATACTGTTACTGGCCAGGAGAGGGCAGTGGTGCCAGCGTGAAAAGAAACTGGAAGAGGAAAGGGCAAGTAGGGCAATTAACATTCAGGCATCTGTCTGTCTATCTATCCACACATCCAAGTATTTTTGAGTGCATATTAAGTGCCAAAAATTGTCTAGGGCAAACAATTTAATTCCTGAAAGAGTCATTAGAAATCACCCAACACTCTCTGCTCATTTGATACATGTTACATGATACTCTTGTTCAAAAAAAATAAGTCATATCCTTCTTTGTAAAATACATATGATTTCACTGGGCTCTTAAAACATTCCATCAAGATCCTAACCGCAAGTGCCACAATCTCTGTTTAAAAATGAACCACCCTTGGGGCCAGGGATTTAGCTCAGTGGTTCTACCACCTGCCTTGCAAGCACAAGGTCCCAAGTTCAATCCCCGGTACCAAAAAAAATAAATAAATAAAAATAAAAATGAACCACCCATGCGTGGCAGAGAGACGAATGTTCTCTGATCATGCAGGGCCTAGACACAAAACCTGACTTCTGCTGCAACTCACCCTACCATATAATTCCCTTGTAAGACTTGCTGGTTCCTGCTGGGGCCGCATCTGCCTTCCCCAAATTCACTTCAACAAGTACCTTAGAATCCAACTAGATCTAAGTTTACCATCTGAAACATAATTACTATTTAATATTTAGCTTGTTTTCAATGGAATAGAAGAAAGAAACAGAGATGGAAATTGAATACAAGTAAGTTTCCAGTAGGTGTTTGCTTTGTTTCAAAAGAATAGAAAAGGGACTAAGATGGGAAAGGCTAAGAGGATGGGGAAATGGAAAGGAAGGAAATGTGAGACCAGAAAGCCAAGGAAGCTCAAGGTAGTGTGGATGAGTGTCCTGCCCACTTACCCAGCCCCAAGGGCAGGTGGACCATCCCAGGGATTGATCTCAGGAAGCCACACCCCAGCCCTCCCCAGGGAGTGGACAGTGACATTTGCATGAAGATCCAGCTGCAACCAGGTGGATCCATTTGCAAAGAAAACCATGCCCTCTTCAGCCAAATCTTCTACCTGGACATCCTGGGCAGATGCAGGGAGGGCAAAAAGGTCCAGGAGACCAAGCCTGCAAGTATGGGGAGAGGGAAGATGGGGTGGGAGCACTGCTGCATCTTCTGGAAGAAAACTGATGGAGAAAAGGGAAAAAAGGAGACTAGAGAAAAGCAAAAGAAATCCAATCAGAGGATATATGGAGAAAAATAGGGTCCGTGGTTTTGCTTCATCCCAAAACAAAATGTGCATTGAAAATATCATGCATAATACCAATGATAACTGTAATTTTAGGAAACCCAAGAGGCCGCTCTCCAAAGAGGCTTGATTTCCCTTTCCATCCGCCACCAACTTTTGTCTTCTGATTCTCAACTTATTCAGCACTATAAAACCCTGAAGAAGGAATTAGGTTCCTTTGCTTCCATTGGAGAAGCCAAGCCTTGGGATGGATGAGAAGCAGATGTGTCCCCCAAACCCTGCCCTCTGGGGAATCCCAGACTCCAGGGCTCACCTGCCTGGGCATCAGGTGCTGGCTCACCTGTCTAGGGGGAACTTCCTTTCTCTTGGGGCAATTCTAGCCCACAGCCAGGTCCTCAAGGTCCAAACTGTCTTCTAGGTTTACATTCCTGGAGAACAACCAGGAACCCAACCTTCTAATCTCAATTAATTTACTCAAAAGAGAACTGGAGGGAAGGCACAACTAAGCACATGTCCATCTCTGCCAAAAAGAACCCCCAGCCCTTCCCATTTCTTTCTTAGATAAGTAAGGACCATTTTCACACATGCTAATTCCACACCCTGGAATAGAAGGAAGCTCCCTTTTTCCTCCTCCAAACTCAGAATGCCTGGCAGTAACTGGCTGATGAGAAGTAGGTAGAAGTTTCTAAGGTGGAGGAAACTGACTCGTTACCCAAAGCAACACGGGTCCCTCTGAATGATCCCAATGTCCACATGATCCCTCACTGCCTAGGGGTTCACTTCAGCACACATCACATATGCCCCAGGGACATATGTACCTACAGCTTTGCCTCTCACATATCTGCCAATAAACAGCTTAGACCATCTGTTTGTGCTCTTAAGGCCACTGACCATCTCTGTGAAGACCTGTACCTCTCTTCTATCCCACTTTCTGCTTCCCTCACTGGTTCCCCTCTTTCTACTCAGCCTGGATGTCACTACTTCTCCTCCCTGGCCATCTCCTGTTTCTCTGACTCCAACCTGGCCTCTACACAGAGACTTGCCTGCTACTGGCTCTGCTCACTACTACCCTGGCCCAGTGGTCTGCTGCCAAGTAGAAGCTTCCTCCAGATGGCTATCTCGTGAGTGCCTTGGATTCCAAACAGCTGGCTGTCTTTCCTTCCAGACTTCTTCCCACTGCTGCCCATTCTCGGGGACATTATCATCTCCTTAGTCTCGCAGGCTGCAAACCCATCTCTTCCATCTCACCCCATACAAAAACAAGTTGCCAAGCCCCAGCAATTCTATTTCCATAAAGCTCCTTATCCCATGCCTCCTTTTCTCCTCCAGGTCCTAGCTCAGGTCCTCAGGGCCTCTTGCCTGGATTCTTCCAGGAGCCTTTGCTATGGTTTGAATGTCTCCTGCAAACTCATGGTGAGTGGTATGAAGAGATGGAACCTTTAAGAGGTGATCAGATCAGGAGGATGCTGGCCTTGTGGATGACTAAAGGCACTGTCGTAGGGGTAGGCTGGGAGTGGAGTGAGTGAGTCACTGTGAGAGTGGGTTTGTTGTAAGCCCAGCCCTCTCCTGCCTCCTTTCTGATTCATGTGCACTGCCTGCCCTTTTACCTTCCACCATGGGATAACCCTCGCCAGATACCAGAACCATGCTTCTGGACTTCCTGGCCTCCAGAACAATGACCTAAATAAGCTGCTTTTGCCTATGAATTACTCAGTGTATGGTATTCTGTTTAGCAGCAAAAAATGGATCAGGACATGCTGAAGTAGTTTTCTTCATCTCCTTTTCCCAGTCATTCACATCTTTGCCATTAAATCTAAATATAAGCCAAGCCCGAACGGTGGCATAGGCCTGCAGTCCCAGCACTTGGGAGGCCGAGGCACGAGAATGGCTGTGAGTTCAAGGCCAGCATGAAGTTTACTGCAAGACCCTGTTTCAGAAGGAAATAAATAAATAAAGCCAATAACTCTCTGCTCCCTAATAGCTCACATACTAAAGTATAAAACCGTCAAAATGGAATACAAAGTTCTCTATTAAAAATAAAGCACACATCTGTATTTCAGAACTCCTTCTCTCTGTATAGCCTCTCAAGGGGTTTCCAAATTCCGCCCTTTTGCAGCTTCCCCTGGTCTTGGCATACATCCTCACTCTCCTGCTTCCAGACCTCCTCATATCTTAAGAGCAGGGCCTGAACAGCCTTTCCCTCTCTTCATTGACTGGAGCCATGTTCACTACTGGAGACCATCTCAAACCCCTCCTTCTCCAAAGTAAACTTTTCTAAAACCTCTACCATCAAGCCTACTGCCTATAGCACTCAGACACTATCTGTGTCACAGAGGAGACATAGAGGCTTCCGGAGGCACAAGCCCGCACAGCCCCTACACTGCCCCCTCCGTGCTCCGGAGGTGTTCTGTGTTCAGCAAATATCTTTAAATTGAATCTCACCCTTGGAAAGGTATCCCTACCTATGGCTTTATCAATCCCTCAGAATCAGAACAGCTTTCAAATCTGGGCCTTTAATCTGTGATATTGATAAAAGCTTAAAAATTATTGGGTATTTATGAGCTCCTGGCAGAGCACCAAGCATTTATTAAGCATTATTAAATGTACCCATCCCAACCTACCTATCAGGTTTTAATGGACATTGCTATTAGTCTTGCTTTTTTAAATGATAAATTTGAATTCTGGACAGATTAAATAATTTTCCCCCAAAATACAGGTGAGTAACAAGACAGAATTTCAACCATAGGCCTAGCTGACTTTAGAACTTATCTTAGAACAAGGCATTCTATCATTATTCGCTGGGCAGTGGCTAGATGGAAAGATGGAAGAATGGGTGGATAACTGGGTAAAGGCAAAGAACAGAATCAATTTTGAGGTTGCCTCTAGTCTTTAATTCATTCTCTGCTTTCCCTCAAAATGAACTTTCTAAAAAGTGTTTCTGACATTTTTAACCATCTTCTCCCCTATCAAAGCCTCCTTCCAGTTTCCATTCCCTTAGAAGAAAATTTGACCTCCAGATTGTAGTGGTCTCCTCAGTGACCTCACTGAGGCCTGCCCTTGACCATCCTGACTCTGGCCACCCCTCCCAGCACACCCTCTGCTCAGCAATCAAGGCTGATGTACAGATCTGGTGCCCTGTGCTTTTGTTCCTTCATGTCTTAGCAGCCTCTCTCTCCGAAATGTCACTTCTCTCTCCATTCACCTGATCAACATTTACACTCTAGGCTGAAGGCCAAGAATCTCACTTACCCTCCTCCCATGCTCTGCCTCTGCATGTTTTCTATACAAGGAAAAAAAAGTCTGCATCTCAGCAAAATCACTGCTAGTCTCAGCAGCTCCCTAAAACTCTCAAAAGTCACCCCATTACTGTACAAACTTGGATGTGTGATGAGCAATTAAAAGCAATTCCAATGGGGCTGGGGATTTAGCTCAGTGGTTCCGCCGCCTGCCTCGAAAGCGCAAGGTCCCGAGTTCGAGCCCCAGTACCAAAAAAAAAAAATCAATTCCTATGTATCTCATACAATATTGTCTTTCAAACAAATTCTATGATGTGCCACAATATGACCCTGCCAGTGCTATTAATAATAGAAT